TGTAGCTCAGTAAATACTGCATCATTATCCTCACACTTAATCAAAGATTGGTGTTTCAACTCTGTCCTAATTCCAATTATCCTATCCATTGTTGGGGTGGTATTCATCATGCAGTCTCTCTAATTGGGATCCTGTGGAGTCATCCATCACGCAGACATTGCGCAGAGATGACACTTTATTGATTTCACGGGGCATGCCTGGGCGTAAACCACATCAATCTCTAGGTGACAGTCACTGCAGTAATTGCGTGCCACTGCTGCTAATGGCTATTCTGTTTGACCATCGCACTGACCAATTAACCACCCGTGGGATGCCACACAGGGGTAAAGAATCATAATGAGGCTGTTGTGATGAAACCGGGATAAAGACCAACCTGCTTTCTCTGCGTAAAACAAATATGAGAAGCTTTAATTTTCAACACAGTCGGACCAACTTTTTTGGGTGTTTTTGACCTGTTGTGCAGTGCTGGTCTTGGAGCCAGAGGCGCCACCGAGCTGCGAGTTAGCTCGCTACCGAACATGACATCCTATTTGCGAATAAAGTCAAAACCTTGACTTTTTCTGCTCTTTTTTCCCCCTTCCCCTTCCTCCCTCCTCCTAGAGCAGAAATCATTGGCTGGCATGCTCTAACGGCTCTGTTCATGACATGCTTCGTGAAGACTGGGAGTTGCATTGAGCTGAGGGTAAGCGGGGGAATTCTGCTTCTCTGCTCTACTTGGCACTGGCCTGCAACACTGCCTGATGTCAGACAGATCACAGCCAGGAAGACTGGCCCTCTTCCCTTGCGCCTGGAAAAAGAATGTTACTAAGACTGAGACAAGGTTTTTTGGCCTGGAGGGGGTTTGCACTGTTGTAGGTTTTCATGCACATGCTCCTTCTTTTTCCACACGGAGCTGGGTTCTCGCCACTTGCCACATAAAAGCAAAGGGACATTATTACTACCACATTGCCTCACGAGTCTCTCCGATTAAATGTAATGCACTAATTGGATCTCCTAGATTAGGTTGCACAATACAAGGCATTTCTTTGATGATGATTTCATCTGCTCTAAATGTTTGTATTGACATATGTTCTAAATAAGTTTCCATTACAGAGCAGAGCTTACAAGTGCAAGAGAGCTACTTGCCCTCGAGAGGCCTAATGCTCAGCTTCTCATTTATCATAGTTAACTGCAGGATTTGTCCAGAAGTCCCTGATTAGGTTGTCTGAGTTTAATGAGACATATCGGAGACCGTGACTGGGAAATCGCTGCACATTGATCCAACTTGTATTTCAACAACAGTAATGACGGCCGTGGTGTCAATGTAGTGGTCATAGCAAGTCAATTAAGGATATTCACTTTATGTGATCCAGAAATGGAAGTTAATGTACTTATAATACTTCCATTATCGTCACTGATTGTGTAAGCGCTAACCTTTTCTTTGCTTAGTTGTACTTATAGCCTGGTTGGATACCTTATCAAGAGAAAAGGGAGAGTCCCGCAGAGCGTGAAGTTGAAAACCCATTTGTGACTACTGACTGAAAAATATGCTACTTTATATTCCGCCGGATAGAACAGATCCGGGATTCCTACAGCATGGGCAAGCTGTTTTGCAGGAAACGCTGTCTTTCTCACCATAAAGTTTTCCCTTCTCCTCCTGGCCTGTCACATAATCAATTCGGCGTTTTCTTGTTCCTCTGAGATTTGTTTAAAAGTGTCCCGGGCTGTATAAACTGCCCTCTCCCCCCTCTGAGAATGTGTCTTTACGGCCGATACGTGACTTCGGCTCAGCTCTCAATATGTCTGTATGCTTTGGTGTTTTGTTATTGCAGTAGTCACATCACAAGCCCTCAGTACCAGACGCAGATGACGAGGTGTACAATTGTTTGTCATTATAACATTAGCATGTAGACATTAGCATGTAAAAGCTGTTGGTATGCTGTAAAGGACCTTTCTTTCTAGGTCATATGCAGCACTGACCTACAAATGAGACCTTCCATTTGCTGTTGATTGATGAGGCATTAATTCCAATTCATCAAGCCTGTTGCAATTAGCATATCTCACACACCGCAACATTAGCTGTACTAACATAAAAGCAGAGCAAACACTAGCAATCAAGACCACACGTAAAAGAATAATGGAATTTGTTCCGAGGTCGGGCGCAGATGTATTTTCTCAATTAGAACGTTCACAACAGTGTTTGAATAGCAAGCCTCGACATTTATTTCTGTGTGTGAATATATTCCATTTAGATAAGTGCGGTGCGTAAATCCCAGTGTTATTTCCCTGTACAAAGACAGACAGCAGAGGCTGACAAAGTTGAACGGAGATACAACAGAAACAATATGAAAATTTTATGCAGGAAGAACAGAGGTGGCATTTAGTAGCTGGCATTCAGGATTAGCTTGAAGTGACTTCATTGTCTTTCTGTCTGCGTTGTCAAATGTACTGACAGGCAAATCTAACTCTTTCCCCCAACCTAATGTATTCTCTTTCAAAAAAGGTATTTTGTCCTTTTCAGTCTGGAGACAGCATGACAAGACATAAACATGGCTGTAATTATAGGTATTGTGTCTGTCTAAGAGATGCAGAGAAGTTACAAAATATTTCTCCTTCAAAGTTTTATAACAAGTTCACTCAGCAGTAGCACACATCTCAGAGATTTTTACCTCCTGTTGTGTCACACTTGCAGTCATTCTGTTTTTTCGTGGTTGTTTGGGTGTCAGGCTGCCTGCACTCGGGACAGGTTCTGTGGCGTTAACAGCCAGAACGTGGCATCTTCTCGTTGACTCTTGGTGCCTCTCCTCGAAGCAGACACCCTGTCAGTCAGATGGAGCCCTGCAGGAGGCCTGTTTCGTCGGTAATGCAATTTAAATGGGGGGCGCGACCCTCCCATCCCCTCCCTTCCCCAACGCCTGATTAACCTCCCACTGATTGATAGACATTGCGCTGCTGCTGCTGCCTTGCGGCTTGTGGAATTAGAAATATGGTGCAGGTTGCTGGCAGTTCATTGTTCGGCTGGGGTAAGTTGAACCTACAGGTGCTGTCGGCTTGGTTTTCTGTATGTGTATCTATGTTTGGTATATGGTACCCCTGTAATGTGTGTAGTGTAGAATGCAACTCTGTTTCCAGGAAACACTCCACTCTTGGCACCTGTTATGACCTAAGCTATGACACACTAAGGTGTGGCTTCTTGGTTCCATGTTGCAGACCAACTAAGGTGTGGCTTCTTGGTTCCATGTTGCAGACCCACTAAGGTGT